TTTGGAAACAGCCTCTCTACTTTCGAGTAGGGGCAAGGTCTGCGTACAAACACCCTCCCTAGACCCTACTCTTGTGGGATTTAACTGGGTTGTTGTTGTTGTTGTTTCATGATCACCATTATATTCATTTTTAATCATAATTTAATCATAAATAATCATTCTAATCAGTAGGTTTATCATTCATAATTGGCCACAATAGTAATTCATCATAATGATCATTCAACATAACATTTAATAACAATTAGCGGCCTAGTCTCGAGTGTTAACAACTGAACTTACCGTCATGCATCATATAAGATTTTATGTGTCAAAAACATCATTTTTATTGTACACAATCATAATTATATTGTTCATAATTAATTGGTATCAAAAATAGGATTTTTGGGTTCGAAAATAACATTTTCAGAAGCATTTTCGGAGCATTCAGGTCGGGGGATCGATCCAGCTTGGAGGATCGATCCTCTTCATGATTTTCCTCCCAAGTGATCGATCCATAGTAGGTGATCGATCCACCTAGTAGAAATTCTTCTACTGCGGTGATCGATCCATCTTACTGGATCGGTCCGTCGGTTACTGTTTATCGTCTACAGCACCACTGCGTTCTCCTCCCTCCCAGCAACAGAATAGAATGAAACTTTGTAAGAAATGGTGAAGAATGGAGGGTGTTATGGTAGCCCTTTTATAGGAGAAGGAAGAGGAAGAAGACACAGGTTGATAACTCTCCTTCGACTGTTTCGGCGGCTGGTGGAGCGGGATGCGATTTCTTCCCATTTCAAACGCAAGTCCCTGATTGGGACTAATTTGGTCCCAGTCGGGGAACACTTTTTGGTCCAACTTTCCCCGAATTGAAATCTGATTGAACCGTTGGAATGAGACAGTTAAACTCTACATAATGATATAATTTTTATTATTTATTGGCCAACTTTATAATTCACATATTTTTGGGTCCTTCTCAGTAATTAATTAATTATCAATTAATTAATTCTGATAGGCCTATTTTCGGGGGGTTACATTATTGGCAAAATTCACAAGAACACTCCCAAAAATTAGAGATTTTACATAAATACTCCCAAATTTTATTATTTACACCATTACTCCCACATTTCTGTTTTATTTACGTCGTTACTCCGTGATTGCTTCATCATCAGTGTTTCTCGGGTGCCTCTTTTTATATGGGGTTTTTCATCTTTTTTTATTGAATTCAAATTAAATTAATATGAACAGACTTGATATTAATCATTAAAAATATTTAAGAAGTTTGAAATCTCAATTTTTTAAAAAGTGATGGGAAATAAGGGCAATAATTAGGCTTACTAAGACGTGAGAAAGACAGTGGAGAGAATAAGTTGAAGTGAATTTAGTATATTAGAGTGGAAAAAATACATGTCTACATTTTAACTGTTCACTTAACGCAAAAATGACACATCCAAGTAACACTAATGATCACTACCAAATTTGGGAGTAACAACGTAAATAAAAGAGAAATGTGGGAGTAATGATATGAATAAACAAATTTGGGAGTATTTGTGTAAAATCTGTAATTTCTGGGAGTATTCTTGTCAATTTTGCCTACATTATTTGTATTTATATTTTTTATCATTTCAGGTATTAGTTATAAAAACTAAACAGACTATAGTGTGATTTATTTTTTCAATACTTAGGGACTGGAGAAACTTCAAGAGACTATAAAAACTAAACTCCATACCATAAAATATGTTAAAAAACAGGAGGCTATAAATCTAAAAATAAGGTCTGAAAATAAGGACAGACTCAAGTCGTCAATACTTTAATAAATTTTTTTTATGGTGCTGAAAATAGAAGATTCAAGGACAACAGACTTATTACACTTTAAGAACAGCAGAGTTATTATTACATAAATTATAAGAATTCGTTCTTAGGCACTATTAAAAAAATTTAGTCTCATGGTTTTAGGCACTGGAGAAACTTCAACATGAATAGACACTAAAAAAACTAAACACACTATAGTGTGTTTTGTTTTTTAATACTTAGAATCTGAACAGACTATAGTATGTTTTGTTTTTTCAATACTTTGAATCTAGAGAAACATCAAGAGACTAAAAACTAAACTCCACACCATAAAATATGTTCAAAAACAGCAGAATATAAATCTGAAAATAAGGACAGGCTCAACTCTTCAATACTTTAATAAAAAAATCATTTTTTATGGTGTTGAAAATAGAAGCTTCAAGGAAAGCAGACTCATTATACTTTAAGAACAACAGTCTTATCATTCTTCATTTATTTACATAATCTGGGCAATTGAAGAATTTGGGTTTTTTATACAGATTAGTATAATTGTGTTTTGAAAGTAAAAGCAAAATAACCTTCCAGCCACTAAAAAATTATAAGAATTCCTATTAAACATAAATTTTATATTGTATGCAAAATACGAATAAGAGTACAATTCTTACATGTTCGTCCATGAATATCATCTCAGTAGAATTTGTCATCTTCTGATCATTGTACACTGGCATCTTGTACAGTCGAATCACACGAATCAAAACTCTCCAGCATTCACTTATTGGATTGATCTTCAACAAAAGGTGAATCGGTTTGGAATACATGTCAATTAATCAGAGGTTTTAGGTATGAACACGCCTTACAATGAAAGAATAGATTGATGAAATGGCTTACTTAAAATTTGATTTATATATGACCTAAATCACAAGAAGGAAACTTACAGCAATAAGGGTACAAAATCCCCAAGGATTTGAACCGGAAAATTCGCAAGAAGAACAAATTTCGCAGAAATTAATCATCATAAGAAGGAAAGAAGGCCAATCATCCCAAGAACAATTATGATTTTTTAAGAAAAGGGAAAGTTACCTATTCTTGGTACCGATCGTTGGAATCTCCATGAAGATGAATATCGTAAGGAGGTGCAATCGAAAGAAAGTTCTGATATCTCATTTCCTTCTTGAGTTGAGACTTGAGGATGAATTCAGTCTCACATAGAGTAGCCCAAATAAATGACGCCCAAAGTATTGAATCATTATCCAACACGTTTGAAATATTGAGTAAGTCCACTATGATGACATGACTGATGAAGTGTATTAAAAAATCCCCGTCAGCATGACAAATGTAAAAATTCTGGGAGTTTAACTCCCAAATTTTATATATAAAGGATAAAGGATTTTAGAGACTAATCATGATGTTTGACTTCTTATATTACGTTTTACAATTTTAAAATTGATATCAAACATAGTATCAATCATAATTAATTCGATTACTATTTAAAATCTATACTTTATTTAAAAAAAGGTGAGTTTTTCCCGCCCAAACGTGAGAAGATTAAAAAGAAAGTTTTGTACATATTACCCCATTACATTTATTCTAAGCATTAATATTGGTAATTGATAACTCGGGTTTGGGTTAATATTTTTAATTCTCTTTTTGGAATTTTTAGTATTTTTATTGTTTAATTTTCATTTGTTTAGCTTTGTTTGATTTTTATTCCAATTCTTACAATCTTTTATTTTCTTTCATAAATAGTAGTTTTTTTAATCATTTTTTTAAATTCTATTATTTTTATTTTTCCTAACCCAAAATTATCAGATATCTTATTTTTTGGTGAAAAGTGTAGCAAAAGACTAAATTGCAATTCAAGTTTGGAAAAAGGAGATTGAATTTGGGCCAGAGCCCAAACCCATCATCAAAACAAGTTAATTGGCCCATCCATTGCTCTCCTGATTCGCACAAGAAAGATAGAAAAACAAAAGAAGAAACGCAACTTCTTCTTCATGGCAACTGCGAAGTAAACGCTCCATGTTCGACCGGCGAAGCATTCAACGCATATCTTCTCCAACGTCTCTCCATTCAATTCGCCCACACGCTCCAACGGGAAGAAATTGAAGGTCGTTCACTCTTAATCTCCTATAAATTGAAGATGAATTGCAACAAGAAAAGGAAAAAACACGAGAATAAAGAAGCGGCTTGGCCGCTGCTATGGTGGTCGCTGGCGATGGTGGAAGGCGGCGCGGCGAACGGCCGGCAGACGCGCAGCAGCTCCAGCTCCGGTGGTTCCTCCATCACAGCTCCAATTTCTTCAATTTGTTCATCTTCTTCAACAATTGGTAACTCTTATTTGTCAATTTTATCTTTTCTTCCCCAATTCTATGTAAAAGTTTGTTTTTTATTCAATTTTACATTTTTTGTTTGTTGTGTTTGTTCCAAATATTCCAAAAATGGTTGGTGTTCTTTATGGGTTTTTTTTATGTTTATATTAAATCCCTTATGAATGAGAATTGATTCAAACTAGTTTTTCTTCAATTATTGAGCAAGTTGTTGTTGAATTGGTTGAATTGTATAATTTGATTTCATAAGTAGGTTGGTATGTGGAATTCGGTTTTTGTTGAAGCTATTTTAGCTCCATAAGGTAGTTAAATGAACTCCGAATTCATACGTGAATCTTTTTTGTGATTTGTGTTTGTTGATTTTAAGAATTTTGGACTTCTTAGCCCCATAAGTTGATTCATTATCCTTAAAATTCGTTATTGAGTGATTATTATGTTTTCATGTGTTTGTTTGTCATTTTCATTAAGTTGGGGTTGTTTAAGCTCAAAAACAATTCTTGATTTATTGAAAAAATATGTTGTGTTCATTTATGTGAATAGAAAAAACGTCATTGGTTTGAGAAGTTCATGGAAATCTGTGAAATGTGCTCATCATTAGGAGAAAAAATTTGTTAAAATGCATAAGGTATTGGCGGTTTGTGAATAGATTATGTATGAGAGTTGAATGCATAATAGATTCTCTCTTTTATAAATTTTTTCTATAGTGGAAGTATGTTCTCATGTTTGAATAGAGAGTTGGGGTTCTAAGGTATATTTCAAAACGGGCCTTTGAATTGCATGACTCCGGGCCGTGTGGAGAGTTGACAATCCTACATATCGTGGTTAAGGAAATGAATTGACTCGGTCTTTGATTGATTTTTTCTATTCTTAAGTGCGTAAGTTACGTAATATATTGTCTACGTGCCTATTATACGTGTAATGTTTGATTTGTGTTTGTTCTCTTTTTCATTTTGTTTCGGGTTCTTGGTGGTGTTTTTTTGGGTTTACTTTAGTTGGAGAAGTTGAATATCTTTAGAGTTTGTTTTCCCCCATTTTATCAAAAAAACCAAAAAAATAAGAAAATAAAAAACCAAAAAATACTTACTTTTCATCCAACCCCCCCTTGTTTTCTAAGTTATATTATAAGTGTTTATTTATAAGTTATAAATATAAGTTTTTATATTTATATATACTTAGGTATTTGTTTTGTTTTTATAGTTTATATTATAAGTTCGTTGTTTATATAAGTCATATTTATAAGTTCTTATGTTTATTTGAATATGTTTTATTATAAGTTTTATACGTAATATATGTGTAGTAGTTAGTTTAATTTTTATTTCGTGACAACGTATTCGCATACTAAAATGGTTTTAAAAAATACAAACTTTCTCCGTGGGATCGACCCTTACTTGCCCTAACTATAGTTTTTATTTGATTATATTGGGGGTTAGCTAAGGATATTTTATAAATTTTTAATTTGTTTTGGACCGCACGACAAGTCCCCAACAGTAATTATTACTTAATAAGTACTATATTACCATTTTTTGGTTTGTAGAATATAAAAATGTCAAAGTAATATATAGAAAGTGTGTGTTACTCGAGTAACCTGTGAGTAAGTATAAATTTGGTAAGCATTAATTAAAAATTATTATGTTTTCATTTTTTAGTTGGGAGAATACAAAAAACATATAAAGTGTATTTCTATGTTTCCATTTTTATAAAAATGTTAGGCTGATTATGATTTCTAATCTAAATACGAAAATAACAAAATTTGCAAATTCCAAAATCAGTAAAGAAATTAAATTTTTCCTACATATTGGTAAGCATCAATTAATAATTACCGTATTTCTATTTTTTTTTTGGGATAATACAAAAATATATATTGCATATTTCTATGTTTTCATTTTCATGAAAAGGCTAGCCTGATCACTATTTCTAATCTAAATACGAAAATAAAAAAAATTACATATTGGTAAGCATTAATTAATAATTACAATGTTTCTTTTTTTACTAAAAGACTAGCTTAATTACTATTTCTAATCTAAATACGAAAATAAAAAAATATTTAAAAATTTTGAAATCAATAAAGAAATTAATGTTTTATACATATTGGTAAATATTAATTAATAATTAATATGTTTCTATTTTTTGGTTGAGAGAATATAAAAAAACTGAGAAATGCTAGGTTCACAAATCAAATGGTCACAAAGTTCACAAACATACCATTTGTGGAGTTCAATAAACCAATAAAATAGTCTAGAATAATTTTTAAAAAAGAATATAAATCACAAATAATAAGTTTGTGAAATTTCTGATTAGGAAATTTCACAAAGTACTATGTGAAATAATAGTCTACAAAGTACTATGTTTCCATTTTTTTGTTGGGAGAATACAAAAAAATATAGCATACCAATAAGTTTTCATTTTTATTAGAAGGCTGGGCTGACTACGCTAATTCTAAAAATTTTAAAAATTACAAATTCCGAAACAGAAAAGGAAATTAAATACATTGGTATGCATTAGTTTTTGGCAAGTATCAAATTCCAAAATGGAAAACAAATTCCAAAAACAAAAAAATATATTGCGTAGGCATTAATTTTGGTAAGCAATTTTTACTACGTTTCCATTTGTGGGTTGGGAGAATACAAAAAAATATAGGGTACCAATAAGTTTCAATTTTTATTAAAAGGCTAGGCTGACTAAGCTGATTCCGGAAATTTAAAAAAAAGTTTACAAAATCCGAAATAGAGAAAGAAATTTAAATTTTCCTACGATAAATACTAACATTCTCAAACTCTTTTTGTAATTACCCTCTTTGAACTGTGTTTTGAGTTTTAAAGTTCTTATTACATTAAATATTATATAATCATTCATTTCTACCTTTCGAGTAACTTGGGATTGTTAACAAATGTAGAAAGTTGAGAGAAGAAAATGTTTACTTATTGATAAGAGTCAAAGCACTACGCAATTACAAAACAAAGAAAACTACCAGCCACCCTTTAATGCTAAAATTCTTTGGCAAGACGAAACTTAAAGAGATTTCGAGAAAGTTTTCTGAAGGGAGAAAGACCAAAGTAGGACTAAAACATTGAAAATATACCAAAATAGGACTTCCATGTTTTTATTCCCGAAATAGGACTTACATTACCATACATGGTTATATACATTACCAAAAACGTATAGTAATTTGCACATGTACACTGCCACATTACAACAGGGCAAAGTCACATTACCACAGTGCAAAGTCCTATTTCGGGAAAAAAACATGAAAATTTTATTTTGGTATTTATCTCTATGTTTTAGTCCTATTTAGGGTGATTTCTATTTTCTGAATTTTCTTTACAAATTTATGGGATTTTCGTTACAAATTTATGGGATTCAGAAATTGACTTTTGGTGATAATGTGTTATTAATTGGTAAACACCACATAGATTATTATCAATTTGTATCTTTCGAAGATGATGTTACTCCCTCCGTCTGGAAATATTCTTCCCATTTGACTTTTCACGGTCTTCAATATTGCACTTTGACCATTAATATCTATATTTATACATAGATATATTTTATAAAAATTTAATATTTGAAAACTACGTTTCATTATGAATATATTGATATTAAATTTACATCATAATACAATGTATTTTTTCCACAAATCATAGTCAAAGTTTATAAACTTTGACCAAGAAATGTAAAATGTGAAGAACATTTCCGGACGGAGGGAGTAATATAATTTACTAACGTAAATATGATCTGTGCAACGCACGAGTGTGATACTAGTTATTCTTAACAAATATAAAAACTTCTTATTTTGACATCTATCTCAAGATTTATATATAAATACATGACATTCTTGCCTATTTTTTCCGTTTAACCGTATACAAGTTTTTATTACTCCCCTGCTACGATAGCTACAATGCAAAAGCAATGTAACGAAAGACGGTTCTTGCCAAAAGAAGCGAGAACGCGAAAAATGAAGTGCTTCAACAAAAAAAATCACCCAATTCAATAAACATATTTTTTAGCTATTTATTTTGTTTTATTGATTTAAAAGAATTCATATCTTTATCTTTATATATAAAATTTGAGAGTTGGGCTTCTAGAATTGTGACATGTGGCATGCTTATTGGACAACTTTTTTTATATGTCAATATGTCATGTTAGCAAGTAATGTTTAAAAAATTAGTTAACAAAAAAACACATTATGTGGAAATTAAATTTTTATTTGTTACACACAAGTTTCTCAGTATAATCATGTTTAAAAACTTTTATATTTTAATGCAATATTGGAAAATATTTAAATTAAACAATATATATTGAAATTAAAAAAAAAAACTCATATTCAAAAACAATAATCAAAACAAATAAATTTATTCTAAGAATGGATAGATTGGTAAGACTAAAGGAAATTACATTTGAATTTTTTTTCTTTGAATTAATACTAATTGGAGATATTTTCCAAATTTTAAAAAAGAGAAACTAATATATAAAAGGAAATGGATTTTTACGGGAACGTTTATTTAATAGAGCATTAATTGTATTTGTATATATTAAAAAAAATCTAAGTCAAATAACAAGCATGTTCCATTTTAAAATTAGTGTTTTCTGTTTTAAATTATTATTTTCCATGTGTAACTTAGTAAAAATTTACAAATTCGTGTCACAAAAATCACCATTTTCCATTTATAACTTGGTAAAATGAAAAATACTTGGTACATGAGTATTGTACGAAATTAAATATTAGTTGGTGTTCCTAATCAAAATATTTATGGCATAATAGCTATTGTTATAAATGTAATTACTTTTAAATTAAATTCTTAAAAAATATAAAACATGCTAATTATTTTGACATCTATGTGAAAACAATATGAATAAGTAATATTCTTTCTTATTTATTCATCTGACCATCGACAGTATTCTAACAAATATTAGTGGATAATAAAAAAAATTATATTTAAAGTTTGTAGATAATAAATTATAATATTTATTTTATGATGGTTATTACAAATACAGAAGGAGAGGAATCGTCATTGGCTATAAACTTGCATCATCGAACACGCAAAAGAATGTACCTTGCGAACATGTTCCAGTACATATATCCCAAAAACTTGTCTATAATTCTCCAACCACGGAATAATTATACACGGAATAATTATACACACACTTCATCACACTTTCAAGTGTGTAAGAGACAAAAAATAAATGATCTATCTTCTATTACCTGTTACACACTTCATCACACTTTCTTTATAATTCTTTACCTCGTCGCTTTTTTTTGAACCGTCAGGATAGAAAACGTAGTTAATTAGGGATAGGGTTCTTCAGCTCAATATATAAGGAGATGTATTCATTCTTTTACAACATAATAAAAACCCTAACCCTGTTGCCTTGTTCTTTTCCTTCCCCAAACGCACGTCCTCGGCGGTGGCGTGTTTCTCTGCTTGTGGACTTCTTCCTTCGGTCCATAAGAAATTCGGAAACGCTCGAAGTTTCCTTACCATAATCCGTTCGTATCATTGGTGCTCTCGTTTCTTCGTTCTCATGGCCACGGATCAATCCCCACTGCCGACCGCCACTTGCCTTTGGGAATTTAGGAGCAAATTGATGGACAATTAGCATGGCGCTGCAGCAACTTCACCAAGCCATCCACGAAGTATAGGCAGATTTGGGGACTTTATGCACATAGAAACAGGACGAGAAACCCACGCGTGATGTACGTCCGCCCCATGATCATGGCCAGGTGAATCCGATGACTAGACTCAAACTCGACATGCCCAAGTGTGACGAGACCGACCCCTTGGGTTAGTTGTTTGAGGCGCATGAGTATTTTGTTTTCTATGCCGTGCCAGAGGAGAACCATTTGTCGGCTGTGTGTTTGATGTTGGAAGGTCTGGCCTTGGACTGGTTTCGTTGGCGACAGCGCAATCACCTCTTGGATTCTTGGGCGGATTTTGTTACCAATTTTAAGCTCCGCTTCGACCCTTTCAATTATGTGGACTCTTTCAGGTTGTTATCCAAAGTTCAGCAAATAAAAACGGTTCTCGAGAATTTACACGCATTTGAGAAGATCTTGGTCAATGTTCCCGCTGTTGATGAAACAAATCTACAATCTCTATTCCACGCCGGCCTAAAGCCTCACCTCCAGCATGAGATTATGTTGCAAAAACCCACGTCTCTATCTAGTTCTTTTGCCCTAGCTCGGGAATTGGAAGCGAAACATGCTGCATGGGCCACCTCCATTCAGCCGCGGGTTCCGCCCCGCCATGGCCCTTGGGTATTTGGAAAAACTGCCTCGCCTCCTTTGGCAACGACGCTGCTGCCCACACTGGCTGGGATACCAGACAACAACGCAAACCCGACCCACCCCATCCGAAGATTGACCTATGCTGAAAAAAGGGAATGGGATGCCAAAGGCTTGTGTTATAATTGTGATGAAAAGTGGGTTAAGGGACATAGATGCGGCCGTTTCCTTTTTCTCTTGGAGGATGATGAGATGGATGAGAGTTTGCCACCAGAGGAGTCAGACAACATCGTCATGACAGCCGATGTCTCGAGTCTCAATAGCATGGTAGGTGTAATGCCCTGAAAATAGGCCTATCAGAATTAATTAATTGATAATTAATTAATTACTCAGAAGGACCCAAAAATTAATGATTTATAAGTTTGTTAATAAATAATGAAAATTATATCGTTATGTAGAATTTAATTGTCTGATCCCAACGGTTCAATCGGATTTCAATTCGGAGAAAGTTGGACAAAAAAGTGTTCCCCGACTGGGACCAATTTAGTCCCAATCAGGGACTTACGTTTAAAATCGGAGAAGGTAGCAGCCCGCTCCACTCAGCCGCCGAAACAGTCACAGGAGAGGTCATCAACCTGTGTCTTCTTCCTCTTCCTTCTCCTATAAAAGGCTACCATAACACCCTCCATTCTTCGCCATTTCTTACAAAATTTCATTCTATTCTGTTTCTTGTTGAGAGAGGAGTGCAGTGGTGCTGTCATCTTGGTGAGAGGTCGCCGGAGTTGGGAGTAATCGTCGCCGGAAGTTTCACCGGAAAATCTTCAAAACCTTCATTTACCTTCGAGGTAAGCCCGTAGATATATCTAAATATTATAATGTTCATATAGGTTGTTTTTACGTTCATAAATAGTCGTTTGGTTGAGTTTTGTGTTTAACATGTTTGAAGAACCAAGAATCATAAACCTTGAATTTGATGTTAAAATCATGAATTAATGATACTAAAATGATATATGAACCTTGGAGAACATTTCTATATAGTTTAATTGAAGTTTGGTAGCTAAAAATGATATTCCCGAATATGGACTGAAGGTAGAAGACATGAACAGTAACAGGCAGACCGATCTAGTAAGATGGATCGAGTAGAAAAATTTCTACTGGGTGGATCGATCACCTACTGTGGATCGATCACCTGGGAGGAAAATTGTGAAGAGGATCGATCCTCCAAGCTGGATCGATCCCCGACCTGAATGCTCCGAAAATACTTTTGAAAATATTAGTTTTGAGCCTTAAAATCCTATTTTTGATACTAATTAATTATGAAAAATATAATTATGCTTTTGTAAACTAAAAATGATGTTTTTGACACATAAAATCTTATGTGATACATGACAGTAAGTTTGGGTGTTAACACTCGAGACTAGGCCTCTACTTGTTATTAAATGTTATGTTGAATGATTATTATGATGAATTATTATTGTGGCCCATTATGAATGATAAACCTACTGATTAGAATGATTATTGATGAGTAAATCATGATTAAAAATGAATATAATGGTGATCATGAAAACGGTGTATATTATTAAGGATATCTAGAAGAATTCTAAGATATACCCACTTGTATATTGATGATGATTATTAAGGATATCTAGAAAAACTCTAAGATATATCTCCTTGACCAATTCATATTTCGGGGAAAAAACGTACGTACGGGATCCAGAACGGATATCACCCACCCGACAAATAACTGTTCGGTTAGTACGTAATCCACATGACTCATAGGGTGGATTACCGATTCTTGTGTTCTGCATTAAACTATTTATAGTTTAAGGGCCTGGTTAGAATTATTGCCTTAGGCCCCGTTCCGTTCAACTTATTTTTTCTTATTTTTTCTTATTCTTATTAAAATCAGATCAGATCAGATTAGACTAGATCAGATCAGATCAGATCGAATCAGATCAGATCAGATCAGATCGAATCAGATCAGATCAGATCAGATTAGATCCAATCAGATCAGATCAGATCCAATCATATTAGATCAGATCAAGACTTATTAAAATAAGATCTCATCTAGAATTATTATCATTATTATTATTATTATTATTATTATTATATTATTATTATTATTATTATTATTATATTATTATTATTATTATTATTATTATTATTATTATGATCATCATCATCATCATCGTCGTCATCATCATCATCATCATTATTATTATTATTATTGTTCTTAAAAATGAAAAAGAATAAACTTTAGAAATAGGTTAAATAAAAAGCTGAGAAAGTAATCCTTAATTATTAGACGTCGGAAAAATTAGTTTTAAAATACATTGACAATGACAATCTAATTCTACTTTTAAAATATATTTTTATTGCTACTTGTAATTTGAGTTTCTAAACTTTTGATCTTTTATAAGGATGAGATATTTTAATAAAAATACTATCTCTTCTATATATTGATTATCTAAATTTAATTACTTTTAAATGTATATCTAAATTAAATATTTATTCCAATTTATAATTCTAATTTTACAAAAAAATTATCATAAAATAAAAAATATTATGACATTATAATATGAATGATTATTCTAATAAATGAATTAACTATTTTTATTTTATTAAGAAGGAATCATTAAATAAAAAATATTGATTATATTATAATATGAATTATCATTACAATTTTCAAACGTTATTATAAAGTCAAATTAAATTATTGATTTGAAATTTTAAATTAAATCATAATTAATCAGATCAGACCAGATCAGATCAGATCCAACCAGATCAGATCAGATCCAATCAGATCAGATCCAATCAGATCAGATCAGATCCAATCAGATCAGATCAGATCCAATCAGATCAGATCAGATCAGAACTTATTAGAATCAGATCAGATCAGAAAAAATAAGTTGAACGGAACGGAGCCTTAGACTAGGAATAGCTAAGAGCTGAATATAAAATAATGTGGCTTTAGATTAAGAATAATTTAAGAGCGTTATTGTTATATTGAATATCAAATGACTTGGAATAAAATATTGATAATATTATGAATGTTTGAACCATATATTGTGTGCATGATATCAAATGGTTGATTATGAATTGAGATTCAATTTATGTGGATGTTCGACGCTTTAGATATGCTTACTCAGCTTCACCGCTGAGCTTGTAGTGTATTTTGTTTGCTACACGCAGGTAAACAAAATGAATGAAGTAATGATTCCTGGAGGCAGACGGAAGCGAGATGGTTGGGGTGGATATGTAAAATGAATTGATGTTTTAAAAGACATAAAATTATTATGTTTTGTAATTATTATATATTCAGCTTCCGCAACGTTAAACTACTCTGTTATTACCTTGGATAATTTATTATTAAATAAAGTTTTTAAATGTTTGAAATATTTTGAATGTTTACAAATACCAAGTTTATACTTTAGTCTGAAAGGGGCTGCAAACCTGGACGGATTAGGGTGCTACAATTTGGTTTTGGAGCAAATGGTTTTAAAATCGATCTTCCAATCAAAAAAGAACTTGTTTAAAAATTTATATATATATATATATATATATGTATGTATGTATGTATGTATGTATGTATATATAATATATATATATATATATATATATATATATAGATATATATATATATATATATAATATATATAAATAATATATATATATATATATATATATATATATATATATATATATATATATATATATATATATATAAGAATGAATCTGGTGCTTTAGATTGTGAGATCTAAGGGTCGGGATTGCATCAAAATTAGGTGCACCAAAATGGTTTGAAAATGCATCATGTCGAAATGCACCAAAATCCTTTGAAAATGCACTATCTCAAAATCTGAGTTCAGGATGCAATCTGAGCCGCACGATGCATCAAATTCAAAAGCTAGATTTTATTCTTATTTCTTTCACCAGGGTGCATTCTTATCTGAACATGCCCTATATATATATATATATATATATATATATATATATATATATATATATATATATATATATA